TGTAGACCAGGCTGGCCTCCAACTCACAGAGATCTGCCTGCCTCTGCCTCACAAGTACTGGGACCAAAAGCATGCACCACCACACCTGGTCCTTTTTATTTATTATTTTTATTTTATGTGTATGAGTGCATTGCCTGCATGTATGTAAATGCGCCGGTGTCATGCAAAGCCCACAGAGATCTGAAGAGGGCAACAGATTACCCCCCTGGAAATGGAGTTACAGACAGTTGTTAACCCTCCATGTGGGTGCTGGGAACCATGCCAGTGCTTTTAACCACTGTGCCATCTCTCCTAACCCTGACTTGAGATTTTTTATTAAGCTAAATAATACTCAGTTTGGGGAAGCACATTCTTGTGCTACCAAGAAAATTCCAAGCTCACTATTCAGTCCTTTTTTCTGAATAAGATTTCTGCTAATGGAAATAGACGTTTTGTTTCATTTAAAGAAAACAGCAATGGAATTTGAATAATATAACTGCTACAGGAAAACAGGCACAATTATGATTATGATTATTTAATTTCTTTAAAAATTAAATTAATTTTCAAAAAATCAATATAGAATAGGACTCCTATATGAAACCTCACTCACCCATCCAGGGCTCAGGGGTCATTAGTGGAAGAGGGGGCTGAAAGATTGCAAAAGCCAGTGTTAATGCGTGAACATAAGGAAACAGAGGCTTTCAGGACCCTGGGAACTGGCTCATATGATCTTTCAGCAATGGTGACAGCATGTACAAAACCCATGCTGACTCCATCAGACAAAAACCCAGCAGAGAACCGGGGAAATGAGCAGCAGACCCCAACCTTAGCTGAGGGACTGTTGGTAACTGATTACTGCAGAGTAAAGGAGAGTAGATCTTCTTTAAGGGAGAGAGACTCTAGATAGGCTGATTAGACTCCAGTGGATGAACTTGCACTGAGGGACATCTGGGCACAAAAGCTTGACTAGGTAGGCCTTAACTTATATGACAGAATGCATGAAATCTGGTGTGGAGAGGGCCACGGGGGGTTGGGATGGGGGTGGAGGTGTAAATATAAATGTTTTATTGTATGAAATGCACCAAAGTTCAATAAAAATGTGCTTTAAAATTTCTGGAAAGAGAAAAAATTATATGTATATATGTGGATATGTGCACATGAGTGCCAGTGCCTGTGGAGGCCAGAAGAAGGCATCAAATCCATTAGAGCTAGAGTTACAGGTGATTGTGAGCCACCTGACGTGGGTGCTGGGAGCCAACCTTGGGTTCTCTGCAAGAGCAGTACAGGCAATTAATCATCGAACCATTTATCCAGCCCACATTTCAGTATTCCCAAGATGATTAGGTGAGGAGGAGCAGTAATGACCTGGAAGACACTCAACTAAACAATGTCAATTGATTTGAATTGTTTCAAATATGATTATTCTAAAGCATTGTTTTTGAAGCATCGGTTCCCATCATGTATATTACAGAATTAAGTTTAAATAAGTGTGATCAACAGTCTTAAAAGATTTTATTCTTAATTTTAATTGTGTGTGTATGAGTTTGTACACGAGTGCAGTGCTCACAGAGGCCAGAAGAGGACACTGATCCCCTGGAGCTGGAATTACAGGTGGTTGTGAGGTTGTGAACTTCATTGGGCTTTCTGCAAGAACACTTGATACTCTTACCCACTGAAACGTCTCTCCAGGCCCTGTATTCAATTTTTTAAGGCGAAATAGAAGAAAAATGCTGTGATACTTTCCATTGTTTGGTCAAATTTCTTCTCAGTTATGCATGTATTATCCACGTGTATACACCATGATGTGAAATTCATTTTCACTGTGGCTGATGTCAAAATCCATTGAAGTTATAATGTTTAGAGAAAGGTATAAGGTATATTTGTTAAATAAAGGAAGTTATTAAACCTAGAAGCAGATAGTTTCTATTTATTGACATTTGTAGTATATTAAAGAGAGTTAAGTTGACAATCTAAGGAACTGTCTTTTGCCTTACCATCTTAGAAACTATACATTTTCCCAACTTACCTGTAGTTTATGGGAACTGATAGGAAGATGGGGCTCAAATATAGGATTTAAACTCATAAAAGAATGACTTGATAAAGGAAAATGTCAATCATGAGAGGAATCCCTGGCAAGGTTCATGCTAGGGTCTGTGAAAGACTGAGCTGTATATCAGGCGATCACATAGAACAGTAGCTGAAGAAATCATGCTCAGTACACATAAGGAATATTTTCTTGACACTAGAGTAACTGATTAAGTTCTCCATCATACAAGCATTTCTGTTGAAATCATTGACTTGGGGCGGGCGAGACGACTCAGTTGATAAATGCTTTTGCCCTGGAGCCCCCATGGTGGAGGAAGAGAAACTACTTACTCACGTTGTCTGTCCCCTGAGCTTCATATGTGTTCTGTGGCACTCATGCCCTGCCACCCCACATGTACACACTATAAATAAATAAATGTAAAAGAATTAAATCATTGATTTTAAGAAATCATTGTTCTGTCTCTCTTAATAGTATAGATAATGCTCTTGAGTTGTTACCATCTAACTCTACTTTTTCAAATAACAGTTAAACAATTAATTCATGTATCAGTATACAAGGAAGCAGATTAGGAAATTGTGTGTGTGTGTGTGTATGTGTGTGTGTGTGTGTATACATGCACCTGCCTGCACACAAAGAGAGAAGAAATTCATTGATTTTATTTATCTGATTAGAAGAAACCCTAATTTCATTAGTAACATCAATTCCATTCTTGAGTGAATTATTCATAGTTTGAATTTACTTCTTTTTCTGATTTTACTTTAAAATTTTGACCATTTCCTGATGCTCTCCCCAAATAAGGAGAGGATGTTAATATATTGGCAACTCAGTGATTACTATCCCTCATCTATATAAATGCCATTACCCAGCTGTGGAATGACATTTTCACATGAAGCCTCCCTGTAGGTAAGCTTC